CCCCCCCCCCCCCGCGAATTATCCGCCTGCCAGATCTACCAGGTTCAACTTTGCCACTCTCCGAGCCACGGGTCGGCTTAGAGGCGAAGGCTTCTGCTTCTGCTCCAGCATTACCTCTGGCATTGGTTTAGGGTTTATAGTGGTGCCATGAAATTGAATTCTTATGGATGATATATAGAGTTACCTTGGGCATGTGTTCCATAATAAGCAAGAAACCCCCAAACAAAGCTTGGGCGAGAGCTTGAAGTGTTCCAGCGCACCGAGCCACCAGGTGATCTCTTCTCAGGAGTCCGGCGGTACAGGGGGATCTACAGTTCTTGAGCGGGGATAAGACAACTGATGTACTGGTTCTTAGTGTATATTGTATAGGGATTATATATATATATAGTGAGTATATTCCCTTATGCCCTACTAAGAACCAGTAAGGAAAGACAGGATCATGTCCAGGATCAAGAGCCATGCTCTGAAGGTTTCAAGCCCTCAAGAAATCGTTTCGCCTTGGGGCGCGTTTCCCAATTTGATGATTTCCCCGAAGTAGGGCTACTTTTCCAGTGGGTCCGCCTCCAGCATATCCGGGCAAAACTCTACAATCCAAGCCAAAAACATCCCAAAACCAAATATGATCTGACACTTGCAACAGGTAGCTGTTCATATTTGTCACATTAATTGCGGTAGGTTCGGGGCCCTGAACAAATGATTCTTACGGCTTTTTCGGGATTATGAAGAGATGGCGGTCCACGATGATTAAAACTCCTTCCAAAGAATACACCAGTCATATGCAGAACTTTTGGGAGGTCCAAACTGCAAAGGGCTCTCATGTCCTCCTGCCCAAGCAAACCCCACTGTGTTTGGGTGTTTCCAAAAGTTCGGGGTAGCATTTTGGCGATTCTCCGAATATTATTTTTTGGGGTGGATCCATTTTTGGGGGGTCTCTATTTTAGGGTTCCGCTATTCATGGAAACTACTATTTTGGCTTCTCAAATTGGTCCTTATTCTGTTGTTGCGTTGAGCAGCAGAACAACGGAGCTTCTTATCCAAAATGTATATTAGTCAGAGAACTGCCTGATGATTTCCCAACTCGATAGACTCAGGGGCTCTTTGAGAATTCAGTTATAGCTTTATAGGAGTCATATAGGAATGTTGGTCCATGATCATAACAGGCCGACCCAGCCTGGAAGATTGCATGAGATCGGGACGAGGAGGCATTGAACCCGTTGTCTCCAGAAGTGCGGCTCAGAGTGCCAATCCTCGCGCGCAGGGGTGCGTATCTGGATGATGATTTATGAACGTGCATGTTTGGCATGAGGCTAAGTTAGCAGCGACTGACCCAGAGAGAGAGAGAGATGGGTTACACTCCTCAAGACTTCGAGGGCTTGCTCCAGGTTGCTGACTTTTACCTTGGTGGGACAGTAGCCTGCAACGCATGCCTTCTACTTACCGGGTGTTTGTAGACAATAAGCGAATGAGTATATAGGCATTTTTTATAAGTAGGGATTGTACAAGGACTATATTCCCTTATTGAGCAAGGGTCAAAATCCTTATCCGGTTTCGTTCAAGTTTCTTTCACGGTAAGGAATTTGCTTTCGGTGGCTTACAAAACCCAAGGTTTAGCTTGCGGCGCTCGCTTTTGTTGACAGACGCTTACGGCGCTGACGGTGGCAACGTGGAGAACCCCAGGTTAGAGCTTGCGGCGCTTATGGCGCGACATGCGGAACGATTTTGCTTGCGGTAGCTTACGAAATCCCACAGGCTTGCTTACCGCAAGCTCCTTACCGCCATTCGCAAAAGGGTTCCCCACTAGAGGAGTTTGATCTTTGCTCTATTCCCTACTAACCACCAGTAACTACCAGCAAGTTCTATGTCTTTTGAGGGGATCATGTGCAGTTCAGGCGCAACCGTTAGCCCGGGCACGACAACGGAACCGCCGCGCCCCTCCAATATCTCGAGGCCCCCGCCTAGCGGGCGCCTTGCACAGGGTGCTTGGACATGTGCCCTGGATTTGGACGTCGTGTGGCTCCTGGCACTCTGCCAACAATGTGATATTGTGACTGAAACCTTTACATTAAAAGAGGGGCCATGCTTTAATTGCAGCTGTCACAGCCCCCTTGAGCCACCACTAAGACATTTCTGCTAGGCGTTCTTGAGCTGGAATTTGCCACACAAATGCGCTGTTGGGCGAACTCGGCATTGCGGTACACATATCTTAGTTACATCTCCCTTCCAATGATTCTGGGCACTCTGCTAGATGTTGCTTTTCGGAAGGCAAACCATCTTCCCATAGTTTTGGGTGTAGTAGTTAGTGATCGTCAGTCACTTGTTGGCCTCCACTTGGCATCACCCCTCAGCGAGTAGACTAATTACTCGAGTAGAATGGCATCACGCTCTGAGTAACTCGCCCGTTGACATACTGGTTTGAGACGTACCGCGCTTAGGGGTAAAGTTTCTTGCATACATGTACTGTAACAGCTGGAACGTCCGAGTTTCTTTAAACAGCTTGCCTTGCAAAAACTTGCAGTCCACAGACAGTCATTGCCTAGTCAACTTGTGAAAAGAGCCACTGTCTAAACTCCTAGCATAACCTTTATATTTATCCCCTATAACTCCCGTTTCAGGGATTTGGACTATAGCGCAAACGTCTCCGGCTCTCGCAATCTTTGGACGCAGGGGCGCCTTGAAGCATTCCCATTTGCATTGGCTCGTACTGAGAAGGCCTCCTGGAATGGGGAAGACAACAACATTACTTTGGGGTGCGGGGTGCGGATCCATGAAGGAATGGAACAGATGGGTCAGAACGAGTCGCGCCTTGTCCCTTTAATCCAAGTAGCCTAGCATGCTTGGCCGGGTCTTCCCCAGAATCCTCGACGTTCTTTGGTCGAGGGCCTGTCAGCAAGTCGAAGACTCTTTCCGCATAGATCTCCAGAAAAGAGACCTGAACCATGTGCTCTCATGACTTTAACATCAGAGTGCATCCTGCAAAGTAAGTTGAGCTTGTCGCTAAAGATCCAGAATGCCAAGAGTTTCCACGTTCGGCTATTACATAGTGGTGACACGCTGGAAAAGTAGTCCATGCACAGTCCTCTACTTGTTGCCGGGAAGCACCAACACTGCCGCACTCTTTCATCCAAGCTACGTACATGCATGGCTCCTTGCTGAAAGCTAGCAACTAAGCTACGCTCAACGCATAAATCAGCAAGAACTTGCCCATGCAAAGCATCATGCTAAAATGCTGCAACAAGGACGGGGTGGGGGTCTTGCTATGCTTCCGAATGCAGCAACAAGAGCCCCAGTCCTGACTCCAATCAAGATGGTAGTTTCCCAAAAGAAGGGGACCCTAATATAGACCCTAATACTATAATCCTTATTATAATATAGGGACCCCAAAAGGGTACCCCTAACTATGGGAAACCCCCATATAGGGTCCCTTATTAAACCCATTAGGGAAAATATCACATATCCCAGGAAACCCCCAGATCGCATTCTGCCAGCCAACCTGCACAGAGACCCCACAGGGATCCGAATCCAAGCCTTGGCATCTCAATGACCAGTAGACTGGGGTTATTCATAGGGATCATGGAAAAGAAAATGGAAGCCCTAGGTCCCTTTAAAGGGATATATACGGCTATATTAGGGTTATATTGGGGTTATTAATAGGGATAATGGAAAAGAAAATGGAAACTACTACATTAGAATAGGGCTAATATAGGGGCTGTATAGGGATAAAAATGGAAACTACCATTTAAAGGGCTTAGGGTTTAGGATCTCATTGTACTGAACTCGCCAAAGAGCAGAATCAACATGCTCCGGGCCCTTGACGCTGAAAAATTCGCTCTTGACCCAGCTACTCAACAAGCACCACCTCTGTCAGTAGTTGGCCTCTCTCTCTCCCTCTCTGGTGCATCCTGATGGACGTTTGCTGTCGGACACAAGGCCCCCGTAAGAATTCAGTTCAGTTCTTATGGCTCATAGAGGGTCACATGGGGATTATGGTCCATAAGAATCCTGACTAGTCCCAGGAATGCCCCAAAAGCCGAGTGTCACCGAAAGAGGTGCTCCAGCGATCTTGGGATGATGCCCCGCGTGGAGCGCGGGTAGCTGGAGCTAGAGCTCGGCTCCCCTGGATGCAGGTCCCCCTAAACCCAAGAGTCCTTCAAAGGGATTATATAGGGACATATTGGGAGATCCCCCCAATAGCCCCTTCGAAGGGCTCATATGATTATATGTGTATGGGAGAGCATGGAAACTACCATGAGTTATGGGAATAACTCAAGCACCACTCTGCACGGACTGAAATCAGATGCATCACAAGAATCCCCCGGGAACATCCCAAAGATCTGCATTGCATGAATGCTTTCACTGTATCACGCCGATACAACCCCTATAAACCGTTGTATATCCCCTATAAACCCCTTTAAAGGTAACCCTACGGGTACCATGGCCTGTCATTGTGTATGTCTTGCCGCTGCCGGTTTGTCCGTACGCCAGGATTGTGCCATTCGCACCCTCCTGGACGCGCTCAACGATGCTCCTGAGAGGCAAGCCAGCTTATTTCCATACATGCACCTGTGGTAGTTGATGAAAATTCTGGTTCCCCCAATAGCCATTATGGAAAATAACCCCCTCCGATCAACCCCCATGCTGACAAGGCAGGACCCCTGACGATGCGGGATGACCAGCTCAAAACATGAAATCCCTCGTATAGATCCTGTGCAAACTACGTATATGGAGACGTGTTGGGAGTGGAGCTGCTGAAGATGCTAGCGGCTGTAGATATATATATATATATCCTATGAAACTATAGTAGTTTCCATTTTCTTTTCCATTATCCCAATATAACCCCAATATTCTGGCCCACAATAGGCACTGAAGCTTTCCACGCTAAAATCAAGGAGCCACTCTTCTGCTGGAGCCAGGGCACAGCCCTGAAACCCAACCCGAATCCCTAGAGTCAGTCAAGGTTCTGCACTGTTTGGAAGGCATCCTCCTGGCATGCCGATGAATCCAAAACCTGGAATAGTTCCAGGCACGGAGCATTTGCGAAGACAATTGGAAAACGCCTGAAGTTCCGACGGCTTGATGCAAAGGCCCTGGACATTTGCATGCACGTTTCTGCTTCTGCGCATTAGATTGCCAGACAAATCCCGGAAGAACACCTTCTGAGCTCAAACCCAAGCCAACGCGGCATCCGACTGTCAGAAGACTTAAGCTTGCGGATCCCAAGGGCATGGTCCACCTGCAGCTCCAGTGCCTCCTGGCATCAGGCAGCTCCTCACTTCCATGTCCTTCTATGCCCTTCATGTCCAAAACATGTGCTCCTGATCCGGTCGAAGGACACGCAACCGCGTCTTGGACTGGACTTGCACCACCTGGAACGAGTTCGAGAAAACGGGTCTGCTACGACCGAAATTGGATGCATCTCCTACATCATCAAACCCCCACAGATGGCGAGCTGATTTGCTCCACCTCAGGGTCCTCGTGGCCATCGCCAGAGGGTCGGATCCGCACCACCACCTAGAAGGGTACGGGTTCGTAGTTGCGGTCGCATATCAGAGCTTATGTTGCGGAGCCCACTGCCCGCGCCTTGTAGGCGCCGGCAGCGCCCGCGCCGTGGTCCGGAGCTTCCATCTATTGTGGTCGCTGTGAAACAATCTTAAGCGACTGAAGCTTTGAGCTGCGATTTGTTGAGATCGAGGATTTGGGCCAATTGTGTCCTTTCGAGTTGGGACGGTGCCCCAAGGTCAAGTGTCAGGTCCCTGGTCGAGAGGTTCGTGCCATTGACGCCATGTGCTTTTTGTGGGTTATACAAGGTTACATAGGGGTTCTGATCCATGATGATGAAGAATTTTTCGGAGCGATACCCAGAATCGGCCCATAGTTTCCATTTCATTTTCCATGTAAACGTCCGTCTTGATGCTCCATTGTAGTAGTTTCCATGTTCTCTTCCATGCGCCCTATACATCCCCTATATAACCCCCCTATATACCCTATTTGCAATAATTGCAGTACAATGTTTGGCTAAACGGCTCGGGCCATTGGCTGACATGTCACGCAAAAGGCAGTGTATTGAGAAGGCTCAAGGCATTGGTGCAAACAATTGAGGGAGGGTGGTCCCAATATGGGTTATAAAGGCGTCGAGGGATACTGTAGGGTTTTGGGTCTCCTAAATTTGGGAGTACCTTTATGGGGGTTGGGGGTTCCCATACTAAGCATTTTAGTATCGTTGGGGTCCTCCTATTCACGGAAACTCCCAATTAATTCCTGCACCCACGCTGTCGAAGGTACGTGAAGCATGTGTGACTACAAAAAGCTTCCACGGCACGTGCCCAGTGAACTCATGTGGAAAGCTGCAATCTTCAAGATCCACCTGTGTCGTAAGAGGACTAACCCTAAACCCACAAGGTACAAAACTTAACCCATCAAAGCAAAACTCCTCAGCACACAACTTGTAGCTGCTCCAGCTCTGAATTCGGAACTTGGTTAAAACTTTCGACCACTTTCCGCGGCAGCCCTGACACCCTTCTGCGCGATCCCAGACCACAAGTATAGTGGCATCCTACACCCTTGACCTTCCTGAACATAGCAGACCATTGCAGAGGCTCAAATGATAACAAATATCATCTTGAGGTCCATGTGAGGAACCCTATACAAGGAATGTGGTCTTGCCCATTTGATTCTCCACTAATCCCTAGACCCCAAACGGCCATAATATTACTAATTATTTGGCCTTCTACGTTAAGTCATCAGCTCGTAAACCGAGTCTGCGGCGAAGGCTTTGAGCCAAGGAAGCCTCATTGGCGCTTTGACTGAGGATTGTTTAGGTACTCAAAGGCGAACGAGCAAGGTTAGGCTCGGGAACCCCACAGAAATCAGATCTTTATAGCCACTTTTGTGGTTTTGTAGGGATTGCACGTGGATTGAAGGTTGTAAACACTCATTCTCCGGGTATTCTCCCCCGCGGATGATAAACAAAGCGACTGAACGACGACGAGCTGAAACCTGCCAGAAAATCAGCCTCAAATTGGCAATCCTATGTGTTCCAGGGCGCGAATCGTCCACCCTCCCAAACCTCGTAGTCAGCGCTCACGACTGGCGTTGTCTCGAGATCTCCGGGCTGGAAACATCAAAAACAACGACTTTCTACGGCCTGGATCAACTTCACGGGTACGAACAAGTCATCCAAAGGGGCAAATGCAGAAAATCATTGCCATGACCTTCCAACCCAAAGCGCCCCCAAGAATTGGCGCAAGTTGTGACGCCGAATCCCTCCTGAGGTCTGTGCCCAGTGGTCCTCAGGAGAGCCCAGGGAGACCTCATGGCTCAATGTGCGCATCCACAGCCTAATCCGGCAAAACTCACTATAAAGCAACATAATCTCAGTGTCCATTTGATTTCTATGTTCTATTGCATTTCATTCTCCAAAAAGCCTCGCTATACGTATCAAGTTGGCACCCGAGCGGAGAAGTGGGCAGAAAAACAGGAAAGGAGACAACACCAAGAATCAGCACTGCACCATAGTCTCCTGCACCCCCGCCAGAGTCCGAAGAAAGCAATAATGAAAATCAAACACCCAAGGGCTTGCATCTCATGGCATCAGCTTATTACGGATCAGGCTTTTGAAAGAGAACCGTATGTAGGGCAGACTGAGGCATCAGGCACATTGCGCGTAGCGGTGCAGCAGCTCAAGGGAACCGCCAGGAGCTACCAAGGGTGCCTGGGA